AGATCTCAATATATCTGAAGACGGGAATAGCTCCCAAGAAGATCCAAACGAAAGTTCACCAAGCGGCGTTCCTCAAGAAGGCGAGTAAGTATCAAGTACAGGGACCCGAAAGAGTACTCTATCTTGATGTTCAGGGAGTTCTTAAACGCTGCATAACCGAAAAGGAAGTCTCATCACTGTTGTTGCAAGCTCATGACAATGGGGGACACTTCGCCTCATCCATCACAATGCGCAAACTATCGAAGTATTATTGGCCTGCTATGGTTAAAGATGTTCGTGACTACATTGCAGGATGTCTGGTGTGTGCCAAACATGGAACAGCAGTGAGATCACAGAAAATGGCGCGAGTGTCAATAAGTACCCCGATGGAACTACTTGGAATCGATTTCATAGGCCCTTTTCCGAAGTTCGAGGGAGTAGAAGTGTATTACATCCTTGTGGTAGTGGACTATTTCTCCCGGTTCGTGTGGTCGCAAGCAACAAAATCTGACAACTCAGAATCTGTTATTTCTACACTGGAGCGAATTTTCTTGGAGAATGGAGTTCCCACAGGTATCTACTCGGATCCTGGCGCTCATTTTGGGAAGGACACACAGCGGTTTGCGGAATCCCGTGGAGTTATGTGGTGCACGTCACCTGTTGCAGCAAAGAAAGCTACTGGTATGGTAGAGAAAGCCGTCGACATTCTACAACGAGCCTTGAAGAAGAACGCTCGTGATCCATCGAGATGGCCAACGATCCTATCAAAATCCACGTTTGATGTAAACAGGAGGGACATACTACACCTTGGGTTTTCTCCCCACGAAATTCTTAAGGGCTTCGCACCTGATGGGAATCTCGAAGCTGTGTTTCCCTCAAACCATCGAGAGAGTCTGAAGTCATTATTGAGTACAGGAACGCCAGATGTGTTTCCTGAAGATGACGATGTGCATGGAGACCTAGTTATAGACTTTATCCTTAACCGTGAAGAGACGAGGCGAACTGCGCTGATCAGGTCAGATTCGCAAAAAGATCGTGCAAAAGACCGACATAATCTGGGCGTACGAGCTGGGCATGTCTATGTACCAGGGAGTCTAGTGATGTTATGGGACGCCAAAGCCGCTGGGAAAAAGCTCAGGCCGGCATGGAGAGGGCCGTTTGTCGTTGTGGGTTATGGAGGTGACATGGAGCGCTCATTCATACTAAGACAGGTCGATGGGTCACGAATCCCAAGGCATTACTACGGAGACCATCTCAAGCCTTTTCGACTTCGAGAGGGCTATCTCATAACTCAAGAGGAGGAGGAGATTCCGGTCTATCAGAACCTTCGGTTAGGGAATGCGGCTTTTAAATTGCCAAAGTATGTCGAAAAGGTCCGTGGTGTTCATGACGCATGAGAAAGCTATTTACTGTTGTGGAGTCACCTTCTGGGAGTGCATGTCAGCACGATTGAGCCGTGAGGAGCTATGGCATTTTAGCAGGGACAAACGATCAACACTAAACGGAGCTCGTCATCACGAGATGCAGATGGACAGAGATGATATGGCGTTTCAGTAGCTAAGGGCACGTAGTCTTCGCGGGTGCTTCGTCCTGTGGGGGGGAGTAGTTAATGAGCCAGACCTAAGGGGTTGGTCTGGTGGTTGCCGGGTGGACCGTGGATCGCCATACTGTACTTAGATTCTCTGTCTCCATAGAATGAAACGAGGGCCCCTTCCCACTTTTATTCAAGACAATTTACTTCGACCGAAACGATACCAAGATCTGGACCTATTCATGCGTTTCAAAAGACCACCGGAACTGGCTCTACCGAGATGGGCGTACCATCGTCTTATTGCGGCAAGAACAGACCACGGGGACTACGCCGAGTATTATCGACATTTCAAGCCCGACCATAATGATCTGAAATGCATTTGTGGCCGAGACAAAAGGCCCTGTCATTTTTCAAAGTGCCGACCTGCTTTGCAACGTTGGAGAAGCTGTGGGAAAATGGCCCCACCTGAGGCCAGGGAAATGATGAGGGAGAAGGGATGGCAAAAGTTCATCCAATTCTTAACCACAAGCAGATGTTACAGTCTGCCGAAGAATGAACAGAGTGGCAGGCGACCATGCTGATATTGTTTCTAACTCGAGAGGAAATGGGGTTTGGAAGATAGGGATGCGGCGCAGGACACTGTAACTCAGACATTTACTGTACCTTTTTTTTCCTATTTCCCATGTCGCTTCTGGCTTCACTGTCGGTCACGTAGGTGGCAATGAGCTCTCAGAGCCCATCTACCCGTGTCACGTCTAAATAGATGTCGAATTCTTCCCTGTCACGTAAAAGATTTCGAATCCGAGTTCAAATATTGTAGCCCTCTGATAGTTGGGATAACTTTCCTACTGAATAATATTGGAATCAATCCTAGCCTCTCATTAAACAATCTCATGAATTACCTCCAATGTCTATGATAATAGACGTACATGTACAGAGTCGACATCAAGTTTAAAGTTGATAAGGAAACCATTGTGGTAGTGTGGTGCTTTATTGTACTTCTTGAGTCTTTGACTGTCTAGCACATTGGGCTCCTCCCTGACCCAGGCCACACCTTGTAAAATGCTCCTTGCCTCTCAAGTTACTTGAAAGGTCATTGATATTTTGCCCGTGATGAATAGCCATTCAGCTGAGTGTTTACCCGTGGAATTCGGCCACCTTTTCCACGGAACCTTCTACCCAAAAATATAAAAATGGTAGCAATGGAAACTGCATGCGCCGGAAAAAGTCTCAAAAAACCTGCAGGCCCAGCCATGCGAGGCCTAGACACCGGGACCACATGAGGTGCGCATATTTATCTATATCTCCCTTCTCTGTAATAGTCGAGGCCAACTTCATCCATTCCAACATCTCTGTATCGGGTACTGGGTACGATCCGGAAACCCATCGGATGGCTTCTCATCCATGATCAAGGGCAGGTGATAAGTAGGGCTCCGACCCTACCATCTGATCTGATCGTGGTTAGCTTCATGATAATGGTGATAGGCCTTTGTGTAGAGTGATGAAGATGATACAGGCCACGAAAGCGATTGGGAATCCTCATCGAATTGAGTACTTTGTTATTCAATCTGGGCTCTGCAGACTCTACAGTGAGAGCTGGAGGTTTTCAGGGGACACCACTGACAGGCGTTGAGAATAGTCCCCCGTATGCCATTTGATCGCTGGCAACATTACATGTCAATTAGTATCAATATATTTCCTCGTAAAAAATTCCAAGTCAAATCGTATGAAAATCTAGATAAAATAGCCAGTACGATGTCTACCTGTCAGGACATTGGAATTATTGGTCTTTACCTAACTCAATCGATTGCGCCCAGTAAATGACAGCTCAATTCTGGTGCCGATCGCCGACAAAGACGATTTCTTCACCTTTCAGTGGTGCGGGTGTAACCGCTCAGTATGCTCTGCATATCTGGGATAGCTAAGAGGAATCGCATCCGAATCCAAGTCAAAACAACCTCAAGCATATCAAAAATCGACGACTTCTTGACAAATGCCAGACCTATCGTTCTTACGAAAGTCTTCCCGCTCTATATTTCTACACCGCCTCATCAAGTACCGATAATGGCGTTACTCCAATTGCAATCGGGAATTTGCCTCTACAAAAACCAGCCATCTCCCATTACAAAATTTCGTTGCTATATATACCCGCGAGGAGAAATTCAAGTCATAATCTACAAAGCTAGGGTCTTGGTCTATGGGGAGCTGTTACTATAGTGGGGCTTCACATCTTGAGGGAGCATAGGTAGCTGGGACGCACATTTTTCAAGTGTCTTCGACTCGAGAGTGTCTGTGGGCGCAGAGGCAACGATTTCGGATAGTGCAACCGATACTCTAAAAATAGGCAATGATAGAACTTGTTTTGGTCCGCCTCCTGATCGTCATCTCGCTGGATTAAAGTCTGGGTAGCCTAGACACTTACCTCACTCGAGAGAGGGAGGATTGTGAGGCCATATCTCGCGCGCCGGCTACATACAAGATAACAAAGGTGTGTTAGGGTGGCCAAAGGTTTTTCTTGTATTCCATTTGGTGGATTTTAACGGTTGAGGGAAGGGTGATAGTCCCTAGCACCAAGGTCCCGAGTGGTATCAGCGATTGCACCAGCTACTTGAGTAGTCCAAATATCAAACTAAGTTGTCGTAATAGTCGTCAGAGAAGCTGGTCTCCTCCGTGTCATGCTCTTTAAATGCAGGGTTTGTGCCCATCACAAATTAAAGTTCATTGATTTATTTATCCTAGTGCCGATCAAAGGATGTATTAAATTTATCATTGGCATGTCTTATTCAGTTCAAGATTTTCAACCGGTGTAAATTATGTATCCAGCGTTGCTTAGAATCCTAACAGCGCTAATAGAAATGCCATCGGAGTTTAGCTCGCACCTCCATCGCCAACCGTTGACGTAAAACTAGTTTATATTCACTGGCTATGCGATGGAAATAGTTAAATGACATTTACTCCGTTTGTTTGTATCTACCATGGACATGCGCATCGCAAATAAGATTCATGTCAAGCAATCAATTACTAACTCCACATGCAGGTCCTGTAATACAATTTGTCAGAAATATCATCTATTATTGGATATTGTCGGGCATCATGGCTAATATGACACATCAACATAATACCCTTCACGTTAGTCATTCCTGTGGCCAATCTATGGTTGTCAGCAACACCTTGGTCTCGCAAAAGTAGAATCATTTGGATTAGGGATCTAAATACCAATCATCTGAAATAAATACTATCATTGCAGAGCTTATCCGTCAATGGAGCTATCATGGTAAGTTTATTAGACATTGAAACTAAAAGAAGCTTAAACCAGCTTAGTTCATTGGTCATTTGCTAGAATGATTGACACTTAAAACGACCATGAGGGAGATACCCAATCTAAAAGTCGTCCATTCTTCTGTAATTCACAGCCATTATCATTCGACTCTCCAGCAAAACCACTGAATTTGGTCATAGTCTTGGCACCGATCAATCGCCCTAAGAACATATGTCTCTCACCACTACAATGGAAGAATACCTGGCCATGAACCCATTAGAATCTCTTTTGGAAAATTTCCGTGCTTTATACGCTGCTTTTTTCAAAACATCTTGCGATACAATGTTTGGGGAACCCAGGAACTCAAACACTTGCCGAAACCCTGTCAAAAATCTGATAAATTCTTTGAAGTACTATCTCATCGAAGGAGATTTGATTGATTCAGATATCAATAATGTTGAGTCACATCTCACTAGAATAAGTAAATGGATGAAGTCAACACCATTTGAATTGGCACCCTTTGTACCTCTTGCTACGCTAATTTTAAATTACGCTACTGACAAAGAGATATGGCTATCACTTTTGGAGCTTATTGACACGCTTGAGAAGATAATTGAAACCCAGGAACAAAAACTAGACAACCCAGGAGCCATCTCCATGTTTAGGAGGACCGGGATAACACGCGAATGGACGGAACAAACCATGCTTCATCTGAAAATGATGCTTCGTAGAGAGCTGTACGGATCTGTTTTCATAAACGTTTATGGTTTTTGCAGTAAATACTTCCCTCAAAAATCATGGACAAACAACTGTATCGAACTGGCCAAGGAATATGTGAAGCGCTCCGGGGAAGACGATCTGAAATTTCCGACAGATCTAGACGAAATTCTGGTTTGGGAATGGATGAAGAATGTGGAAAACAAAATTTTTCATTCGTCTAAAGAATCTTCCGAAACCTCGACAGAATCATCTAACTCTCTGCCGGCTCAGTCTGTACCTCTTTTGAAAGGCACTCAACATCGTATGAAACAAGCAGGCAAGATTGATGGCGCACAATCAGAGAGACAAGTTGATTACTACATCACGCGGCGAGTTCTTTCGACTTCATCTCATGACTGGCGCGATATTCTCGTGATTGGAGAGTTAACAAAGTCTACAACAGATGAGTTTATGAAAAAGTTTCTGCAGCTCTCTGCGCTAATGCGGGAGTTATTTTTCGCACAGCCACTTCGACAGTTTGTGCACGGGTTTATCCTCTTTGGCAAGTCTCTTCTACTCTGGGTATACGATCGGTCAGGGCCGTACTGTAGCTCATTGATCGACATTGGCCAATCACCGCAGACGCTCGTGTATGTGATGGCAGCTTATATGTCAATGAGCGATGCAGAACTTGGACTTGACCCAAACATTAAGTACGAAGCCCATCAAATTACGGTAACACTAGATATTCCCGGGCAGGAGAAGACGCGCGAGTTCAGACTTTTTCCAGAGCCAGTCGCACAGCCGACGACCCTTGTGACTAGGGGAACCAGCTGTTACCGGGATCTAGATGGTGGCTGTATAGTCAAGTTCTCTTGGAGAATGTGCGGGGATGACTCGGAGGCAAAGCTGCTCGGACTTGCGAAAGACGTGGATGGCATGGTGAAACTTGTGGGATCGCGCGATTCTGTAAAAATTAGCCAACTTCGAGAAGGACTGATATTCACACAGGCAATGGTGAAAGATACGCGTCCAAATGACAAAGCCATGGCCACTCCACTCGAATTCACAGAAGGTTTTATGCCAGATCGAAAGAAAAGCACCAGCATGACCACGAAGCGGAAGCGAAGGGGCGAGGTGAACGAAGCCGGAAGTGAATATGGACGGTCGAGTAAAAGGGCAAGATCATCAGCTGGATGTAAGCGAATTGGTCATCGATGTCTTGAAAAATATTTACTAACAGCATAAAAGCATCAGTCATCACAGAAAGTGCTACGGAAAATAGGGCATCTGCATCGTTAAATGTCATCACTGAAGAAGATTTGTCTCGTGTTCTAAGAGATGAAAGCACCAACATTGCCAAAATCTTTATCGGAGGAGACAGGCAGTCTACTGGGGAGAAACGGAAGAACGTGGAGAGCGACGAAGTCAACGGTCGAATCAAGAGGCTTCAACTTTCAAGCAATGCAGAAAATGCAGACAAAGCGGACAATGGAACAACCATCAACAATTCCGGCACCAGCAACCTTCCTGAAATGGAAAAAGTTATTGGAATCTCGCCCTTCATTTTCGGAAGTGACCATCTGAATGTTACACATGATATTATCGGGCCCGAATTCAAAGTCAAAGTCAAGGTTGTAGAGATCCGAGATAGACAGTCCTCGGCAGTTGCGACAACGCCATTTGGACGACCGATCCACAATGTTGAATCGCCAATTGAACTGGTCATCGGATTGCGTGATGCGATCAAGGCGCACAGGTCACTACTCAAAGATGCCACGATATTGCACCGAGATATCTCGGAAAATAACATTATTTTGACTGGCTCCGATGTTGGAAAGGACTGGAGGGGATTCTTGATCGATCTAGACCTGGCTGTATTGCTATCAGATTACAAAGATCAGAGAAAGACTCAAACCATGACCGGGACTATGGAGTTTATGGCACTAGAACTTCTCAGTGGTAGTTGTGAAAAAACAGGCTCCAAAGTCAATCATTCGTATCGCCATGACTTGGAGTCGTTCTTTTATGTCCTCTTATGGTTAAGCATGAGTCGCGGATGGGATAAGGGCAAAGAACAGAACCAAGATTACCTTTCGAAATGGTTCACAGGGACCGCCAAAGAGATCTTTGAATTTAAGAAAGCTCAAATGACAAAACCAATTTTCGAAGAAGGTGTATTGAGCAAGTTTTTGCCGAAGTTTTATGGATTGAGGACACTGGCAAAGGAGTTTTGGAGGATGATATTCCTTACGAATGGAACATTTTTTACTGGTTCTTACAAGGATAATAACGCGTTGTATAACTCTACAATCGCGGCATTTGACAGGGCAATTCAGAGGATGACAGTGTAAGGAACAATTAGATGTAAATCTTATTCGTCAAGGTATGTATGAATAACACGGGCTATGGAGGCCAACCGAAAGGAACTGTCAGGCGCAGGTTCACTAGGCGCAGGACTCGAGGCGTAGGAGAGGGCGTAGCGTAGGATGTACTGAGGAAGGACGCCTCGTGGTAACGCGGAGGGCTTTCAAGAGAAGTGGTAAAAGGGAAAGCGGGGAGTCGTTCTAGATAGAGGGGCCGGAGGTGACAGTAGGTCACTATGTTTGGCAGAGGACGAGAGTGAGATGTGATTAGAATAATGTAACTATTCCTAAAGACAGAAAACTAGGCGTGAAGATTTCAGTCTCGGAAATGGAAACTACATAGGTGCCCTCGCTAAGCAATAAAGACTAGTGGGATTAAATAAGGAACCCATATATCCTGCCTGAGGGATTTCTCAAGAATCCTTACAGGAACAAATAAACATTGTAAAAAAAGATTTGTACTGACATTATTCGTATGACACAGTAAGTGGAAAGTTGGAAGAGCGCAGAGAAGCTACTCAAATCGATGATCATTATTTCACAACCTTTTCAGTATGTGAAAAGATTGAATCTCGTGAGTGAAGACTTCAGTGGTCCATATTTGTTTATCAGCTTACAACAGAATGACTAACTGAAAATTTATAGATTTTTCTTATTAAAAATCTTCGTGCAGGAACGTTAGATGTAAAGGGTTGTGCGGCTTTGAAAAGAGCCCCGGGTTTCGCTAAGTAATAATATATTGCTTGGTGAGGTTGTGCTTGGAATGCTCAGTCACCAATAAACTCAAACGATAGGTCTTAGCCCGTTGAAATATTGTTGGAAAGTGTGTATGGGTTCTAAGAGGAAACTCACTCAAAGAATATAGTCGCAGCTTCAAAGTACTTCGTAGTAGTTCAATGAAATAAATCATTCACGTAAATCGTTATTATATTATATTATACGTCGGAATGTTAAAGAACTTACATATAGGTTTCTACATGTTACTCGTGTTCATTGTCTGACGCTAAACCCAATTTCAGTCTAGTGCAATTGTGGACCAACTTATTCCTAAGCAGCCTTGCCGATCATTACCGACAATTGTGTAGCTCTAGAGTAAGCAACTGGTGCGAAATTCCAACAAATATCTTCCACACGTTGGAGAGTCAAATTTGGGGTGGTACGCCGAGCCAGTAATACCGCTCGGATTTCTCAAAGGATAATGCGATCATTTTTTTTTGCGTCAGATTTTAATTGTGTTTGTAGCTATCTAGCTTTGACACAATATCAAAGAAAAGTACATAATAGATGACTGAATTTAAAAGAAGAGAACTCATGCCTCGTATTTCATTTGCTAGTACCACTGCGAAGTTATGGTGGCTTTTTCTTCACCACAAATCAACTGTCATCCGTGAATACCCACCCAGGGGAAAGTCTCATAAATCCCTAGTTATCCAGACATGCCTCAGTCATGTATTATCTTTCCTCCACGCTAAATGTGATCTTTGGCGTCTCCTTCCCAAGTGATTTAGGTGCCCAGGTTATTCGAATAATACCAGATAACATCACCAGGAAGCGGAAAACGGCATTTTCCCTCGTTGACTTGTGCTTATAGTGTCAGCTGCACTGTCGCAAGCGAAGTCTTGGTGCGCACAATGTTCAATTTGTAAAACTCCTTGCCAAAATTCGGAATCTCACGCCCGTTGACGCCGTATCCATTCTCTGCATCATCGTGTGAACTTGTCCTGTTTCTTCTCACGTCCATCCCAAAGAACTGCGTCTCAAATTTGAGCGCCACGCTTTGCGTCCTCCGTCGGGTTTAAATATCAGCGTGGGCGTGTATTTGGTGGTCAACTGAGGCCAAGAAGGTCGAGAAGAGGTGTGGTCATTGGGTTGAGGATGTACTTGCTGGTACTTGTAGACTTGACAATGTTACGGGCTTAAGGCTACCAAGATAGATTCCCCAAATAAGGTCTGGAGACTGTTGTGATCAGACCCACTTATAGATCACACAACTTGGAATGGCTAGTATTGGGCAAGTGAACCAACAGGACAAGCGACCCTGCGTCAATGATACATCATCGGCACACAGCAATGACAACACCAGTATCTCAACCATACATGATTATATGATAATATGACGCAGGTATATCTAATGACATAGTTGTTGAATGGCTGAATGGTTGGCAGTTATTGCTATTGATGGTATATTGTATGTATTGTCTTTGTGTATAAATACTCGCTGCTAGACCTCTGTGTATGATCAACCTTTCCCACTTTTATATTCAATAGTCATCAATATAGCAGATCTACAATATATATCTGTCTTCTTCACGTCAGACTTAAAGTGCTATCCTACATCCACCCAAGTTGACTGTTACACCCATTATGACAATTCTTAGACTTCTCATAACCTCGTTATTACAATAGAGACCCACTTAAGTAATGTCGATCTTAGGTAACACTAATATTACCCCGGTAAATTATCATTGTACTGAAAACTCTTAAATACACTGTAGAGACATCTCCTTTATATCATTGTTTCAGATAATCAGAATAGACTTCGTTAACTTCGTTCGATTGTTTATATCACGACCCCATTCCGTGACAGATAAGACTCAGGTTGGATTCAAACTATTTGGGAGTGAAAATTTGACGAGGTTTAGTAATTTGAATCGTTGCCTCGTGCGCCAACCTTTAAGTATTGCAAAATTTGACTGACCTTGGCTCTGATAGAGTATATCACTCCCAGGTTCATAGAGGACACCGTGTATATGTGTTTAGTCTTTGCCCTCTTCCATGTTTTCTTAGCTTATCGGCAGAGGACCTAAATATCCCATAACGTCATTGACGGAAATAGGACAATAAGAAATTAATAATTTGAAGGGCTTCTATCAAACTTCATATCCTCCTTAATTCCTCCCCGGTTCTTGTTGCAGGAATATCCGAAGATCGAATAAATATGCCAAAAAAATTACGGTCGACCATGACTGACGTGAAAGGGCCTAAATTAGCATCTAATTGTTGTCGTTGAAATAGGGTTTACGAGAAACTCATGTATTTCAGATGCTCTCCTAGCTGTAAGATTCGAAATTATTAGTTAGAGTACTCAATTAATGCGACGAAGTCTGTCGTTTGCAAGGGCAGGTAGATAGTTTGTTCCTCTTTCGTGCGCTTTTTTTTGATCGCCGGTAGGTAGCATATGTTGGGGTATGACGAGGGCATCCCTGATTATTGTTGCAGCGTTTGGTACCGCATATCTTTCCTTTTCTCCAGCATCATTATCGTGGCATTGATGGTCGGGGGAATTACCAGAAGCGTATCTATGAGGCAGGGAGGAGATAACTCAGCCCAAGTCGAAAACATGTGACTCAATATCGCCTTTGCAAAATCTATAGAGAGCTGGAGGTTTGTAGGGAGTAGCGCTGACAGGTGTTGAGTTTCCGTCTTCCCCTGACTGCTAAAAGATGAGACTTTTTCACATTCCACACCTGGGATGTTCTTCATAACCAAGTGACACAAAATTTAACAGAAATTGTAGTTAAAGCCCCCGCTTATCAGGGTAATGCGGATAACAAATTTGAGTGATTCAATGAGTGTTATGCCTAATATCGATATTTTAAAGTTTCTTGATATTGAGTTATCTACACTAGATGCATAGAGCGGACCCTTGCTTAAAAACACAAACAAGCTAAAGACTAATCTAAATATGGACGATATACACTAGACAGTGCAGTGGTCCGTCATTTGGGCTGATATCCTAGAAATTGTCTGGATAGCTTGGATAAATATCCCACTTTAGACAGGGGGCGGTTGGTACGAATCCACCGGGGCTCATTCACGTTTTTCGCAATGATAGTGTAGACGGATGATGAAGGTATCTTTGGATAACAGAAGAGTATGAATCTCCCTTTTGATAGCTATTAGTGGACGAGAGTCGTCTCTTCCGTGGAAACCAACTCGCTCCATAATGATTTTTGTAGATGGAATCCAGAGTATGCGGTTCTGAAGCTAAAAGAGTTAGTCTTTATGCAGACATAGCATTGATCATGTGATATAGTTATAAAATGGAAAACACATAATTGATATAAAATATTTACAGGTACACAGGTTCTATAAGCTTGACATGCATGATGTAAACAAATGCAAAAATCTTCAGCAGATAGCATTATTTACAGTAAAATTGGAAGAGGAATATCAAACTTAACTCCAGCAGTTAAATCACATGAACATTTTACCTCCAGGGATAAATTTTTAGTGCATGCGTTCGAGTTCGTCGAAAAGTTTTGTAAGCAGGACCCATTTCTTTGAGCCGAGCCAAGAATCAATCTGATACAAGACAGGGATACGCGGGGCAGTTCTAGAGAGATTGTACCCCATTTCACGTGAGCAAATCACGATATGAGCACTTCAGCTTAGCAAAATTAGATAACAAAAACAATGCCAATAGCAACATCATTCAATCAGCAACATCTAATTTATAAGCGTACGAAATGGCTAAATTAACCACTATAAGTCGTGCTAGGCCAAAGAGAAACATATGTCCGAGCTCATCCTCAAGTAGAGACCCCCAAAATTCAAGTAAGCAACGTTATATCTCAGAGGTCCTCGAAAGAATATTGTAACAGTCCTACAAAAATGAAGATTTTTACATACAAAATTTGGGAATCTAATTCTGACAATTCTGGAATAGATGTTCACCACCAAAATCCTAAATTATCTCTACCTTCAATAATTCGAGACTCCGATGATTCAGAAAGCGACGATTCTCCACCCGATATACCTGAGAACCTTCAAATCTTGAATGCTAGCAACATTTCTGAAAATACTTTGCCTAAAATTCATGCATACAATGAGGATCCCACCGAATCACGATCTATTCCCCAAATTTTAATTGGAACCAAAGATATTACCAATACAAAAATTGAAGTCCAATCGCGAGCCATCGAACCAGAAACCACTGTACCTATGCCCATGACAGGAAGATATTCTCTTCGCCCGAGATCGATTGCAGGGAACAAGCGCAAAAGAAGTCACCAGTCTGAAAATAGAGGAGACGAATCATCCAACACAAGATCAATCTCTACTATTATTGGGGATAGAGATACAGAAAATACAGCTGGCTTTTATAGCAATATTATCCAAAGTCAGGAAAAAAGTATAGATTTAGAAAGAGAGAATCCCGATATCCCACCTTTAAATATAGATGGCTTGGGAAGTGTTGTGGAAGGGACAGAGATTCAAGATGAAGATGACTCCCGAGCTCTAAAGCGACGCAAGGTTGACCTACCCTTACCATACATCGAAGGTTCAAACTTTAACACAAATGATAAAAATAAAGGGAAAGAGAGAGAATACATGACTCCTGATGACCAAATTAGAGAAGTTATTATTGAGAATAAAATAGAACCCTTGAAATATCAAACCACCTCAGATCTTGATACAAACCCAGTAACAGCAGGTATTGCTTGTGATTTGGAAAACAAACACGGACCAAATGACGAGGAAAAGAATAATAGCAATGAACCAAGTCCCGAAGAAAATTTGAAGCACATCTCTCCCAGCCATGAAGTAATAATTGTTGATAATTCGGAAAGTAGCTCGTCAGAAGACGAAGAATTAGATGCCCAAGCCGAACAAAATGAAGGGCCTAACCCTGCGAAAGAATCGAAAAATCTCAAACAGTCAAGAAGAGCAAAAAACGAACGAACAAGGCTTGAAGGATTCCACAGTAACTTATTAACAATGTGGGATGATTTGCAAAATCTTCCAAAGATTGAAGGGGTATCAATGGAACAGCCAAAAAATATCAGTCGCAAGCTGAAACCATTCCAGCTCCAGGGCGTTGCTTGGATGAAAGCAATGGAAAAAACCAAGTGGAGAGGTGGCTTATTAGGTGGTAAGAAAATAATATTTTACTTTCAAACCATGACACAACTCTAATGTACTGACCAACATATTTGGCAGACGAAATGGGTATGGGCAAGACAATACAAGCTGTCTCATTGATTATGTCCGACTGGCCTACAGAGCAGCCATCACTTGTACTAGTTCCACCAGTAGCACTGTTACAATGGCATCAGGAAATGAACTCTTACACAGATGGAACTCTAAAAACATTCATATATCATGGAACTAACTCTAAATCAAAGGGAATATCTGAAGAAGAATTACGTGAGTATAATGTTATTCTAATGTCTTACAACAGTTTAGAATCAATGTATCGAAGACAGGAAAAGGGGTTTAAACGCAAAAATTGTATGCAAAAGGAAGTAAGTGTGATACACAAGATAAATTTTCACAGGGTAATACTTGACGAAGCGCATAGCATTAAGGTATGGCATAAATTATATAGAGGACCTATCGCTAATATTGCAAGTCACGTAACTCTAATTCCGCAAAAGCTTGTTTTGCATTAAAAGCAAATCACAAATGGTGTCTATCAGGAACTCCTCTACAAAATAGAATCGGTGAATTCTTTTCGTTGATCCGCTTCCTGGAAGTAAAACCATTCACGTCCTACATGTGTCAGCAGTGTCCTTGCCAAATTGATAGCTGGAATATGACAGGCTCCATGAAATGTGTGAATTGCTCACATAGTGGAATGCGACATATATCCGTTTTTAACCATGAGCTTCTCAACCCAATTCAAAAGTTCGGTAATTATGGAACAGGGGCTCAAGCTCTCAGCAGATTAAGAATTTTGACTGACCGAATTATGTTACGTCGGAATAAGCGCGATCACTCATCTGCGATGGAGCTTCCTGCGAAAGAAATCCAAGTTGATCGTCAATTTTTCGGTGAAGAAGAGAACGATTTTGCTGGAAGTATCATGAATAATGGCACTAGAAAATTTGAGACCTACGTTTCTCAAGGTGTCGTGCTCAACAACTATGCAAATATATTTGGTCTTATCTTACAAATGCGGCAAGTTGCCGATCATCCGGACCTAATTTTGAAGAAACAAGGCGAGGGTGGCCAAAATGTACTCTTTTGCTGTATATGTGATGAGATAGCTGAGGAAGCTATTCGATCAGTTTGCAGACACGACTTCTGTCGTGAGTGCGCTAAGAATTACTTGAAATCTTCAGGTCTGTTTATAATTGCCTCATAGTCCCACCGAGCTAAATGTCTATAGAAAATCCCGATTGTCCTCAGTGTCACATAAAACTTAGTATTGACATAGAACAGCCTGACATTGAGCAAGATGATGCAATGGTAAAAAAATCATCCATCATAAATCGAATTAAAATGGAGGACTGGACTTCATCTTCCAAAATTGAAGCCTTAGTTCATGATCTATACAAGCTTCGTTCCAAGAACATGTCACATAAATCAATCATTTTCAGCCAATTCACCAGTATGCTTCAGCTGATCGAATGGCGCCTACGTCGTGCAGGAATCACAACTGTTATGCTGGACGGATCAATGACTCCCGCTCAACGTCAAGCATCCATCAATCATTTCATGAAAGATGTAGATGTAGAATGTTTCCTTGTTTCTCTCAAAGCTGGAGGGGTTGCTTTGAATCTGACAGAAGCCTCGAAAGTATTTATAGTAGACCCTTGGTGGAACCCGGCAGCTGAGTGGCAAAGTGCCGATCGCTGCCATCGCATTGGACAAGCTAGACCCTGTTCCATAACAAGGCTTTGTATTGAAGACTCCGTTGAGAGTCGAATGGTCTTGCTCCAGGAAAAGAAAGCCAATATGATTAACTCTACTATAAATTCAGATGATAGGGCTATGGAGAGCTTAACTCCAGAAGACATGCAATTTTTGTTCCGTGGAAGCTGAGCAAAATTGGCTAGGTAGTATAGAAAGAAATTTTGGAGTGCTACTGTTTGGAAGCACTCTAAGCACCAGCACATGCATAGCTATTACTGGCTTTCCATAATCTAATCTTGGAAATTTGTGGTATCGACTTATCTCTGCCGTCGATATAATTTTCATCGATCATCCAGTAAAAATACATCGAAGCTTGAGATTGAGTCTACTGATAAATGCTGCTAGACGATTCTTATCGTCAAGCTCATCTTCACTTTAGCATGCATCGATTTTAATTATGTTTTCATTATCGCTCTTTCACGGCAAGTATACTTTAATTTTTGCGAGGCCTTATATAATAAGAAGTAGAGTGTTGTATGATAGAACTATTACGAAAACTTGGGCTGAATAGATCTGGTACATTCGTGAATGTATTACGAACCCGTTGGCACAGTTCTGTAATTGTACCTGGTAGATGATTGTAATTATTCATACTTTACAAGTGTTTTGTACGAGAATGGCTAGGCTGTGTCAACTTAATGACAATAACTAGTACAGATAAACTCCTCCCTTAGTGTTAAGAAAATCTTCGATACGTCTCAAGAGCAAAATTCTGTCGACTACTGTTCACGAAATCTTCTGTCCATACACCGCAGCTTATAATGCCAGAATCTGAGTGCCGAAATTTCTAGATTGAAACAGGTTATGTCATAAGAAAACATAGCTCGATCGTAATTTTTACATGTGCGAACGCGTACCTCGTTGAAAGGGGAAGAAGCGTAGCGTCCGGAGGACAAAGACTTAATAACTTTCCGCGGTGTCCTCTATAGACTTGGGAGCGAAAATTTCTCTCAGAGCCAAGTTTAGAGGAAATTTCGCAAAGCTAAAGAAGTTGGCCTACGAGGCAATAATTAATGACTTCGAGAATGTCAATCTCACACTGCCTTTAGGATCGATTCTAAACAAAGTCCTAACAAATCTACAAATACGACCCAGAATTCACTCAATTCAATGACCACAACTCTCGTCGGCTCAGTTTCTGGCCCCAGCTGGCATCTATATATAGCATGTTGGAAGGACTCAATAATCTCTTATCCATTAGTACTCACTAAAGTGAGATTCTCAACCTTTAACTATCCAACCAAACCTACAGAATTCTTCAAATAAATACTACGAAAAATGTGATTTAGTCTCACTATATTACCACCAGCGAGCTCCCGTTTCGAGAAAATTGGGCTCCAGCTATCCGCGACCTCCTTAGGAGGCCAGATTAGATGGTATTGCGCTGCAACGTTCGACCCAAATCTCCTACTGTATACAGTGAGATAAGATAAGCTAATGTCGTTTACATAGTAGCCTTATTTACATGGAGCCTAAGCATCTACATGCCTGTCTATTTGTCTGTATCGTTTTGTTTATTTTCAGCCATCTAGCCATGACGCATTATTAGTGCTACACCTACGTGTCACACAACTTCTTTGACTTCAGTGATTCTCTGTTGAAGAAACATGGACTTGTGTAAATTTATGCGAAAAGATACTGAATTGACTACCTTTTGTAGATAATCTATCAAGAGACTCAATTCATGCTGATATTTTTTTAATCACTAACAAATTCAAACATAGACTGATCAGTACGATTATCTATGCGAACTATTCACATTCCCGTGCTATACATAGTGCCGAAAACGGTTGGATTTGTCCCCTGAATAATGAATTGCCAGGGAGGATATACTCGGATAACAAGAGCGATGCGGTGTAATCAGGGTTAATTGAATCAATGGTAACGGCAAGATGTAGGATACAAACAACCGTAAAGTAGTGCACAGGAAAGAAGTCGTCCTTTCTGAGCCAGCACATCTGAAATAAGATCTTGGGTTCGGTTAGCTGTAGGGACTACCAATGTTACTGTCTAGATACGGTTGCTTAGCAACACAGATAATTATGATCGGGATATGTTGAGTGCAGGCGATACTGTAAACACCGCCATGGCTGGATGGTTCGGTGGTACATCGTTTTGGCCGGTCTGCCAAGTAGAGTCTGGATAGCTTGGATACATATCCCACTCGAGACAGTAGATCGCATGGTTCAAATCCGGCAAAACACAACCACATTTCTCGCGGAGCTGGTATGCATGGATGACGAAGGCATGCTTGGATAACCAAAGGTTTTGAAACGTCCCTTTGATGGGTACTTACGGAGGAGGGTCGACTGTTTGTGCAAGAAAACATACCTCATAGTATTATTTGCGAATGAAATCTAGATTGTGAGTGTCTCAATCATCAAAAGAGTCATCCAACGTGTATGCACAGTACCGATCATGTTTGTTACTTTGTTTTTAGGTCCCAGGAAATACCCGTTATCCGCCAAGAGTTAGAGACTGGTTTTCGCACCTAAGATCACATCTTTGATACGCCTAACTTGTTCCCACCTCGTGAACCACTACACATATAGTTGCTACTTAAATTATATACACCAATACATGGAACAGAATCCATGACGAAATTCCAGCCTGCAAAACTCTAGACTCCAACTTAATATCAGCACTTGTGGTTGAGAATCAAAACTCCTCGCCTCGTCCCCCTTCCGATCGAGTCGTGTTCCATGACTAATCTATTCGGACCTCGCTGAGAGCAGAGGCCGAGCCTGCAGGTGAGCATCCATACCATGGAGATATCTGTGCAAAATTTCTGGAGTCTTCAAGGCGGCTGGGGTCGGAGAAGTTAGTGTGTAAAGTGGTCGTGGGACTTTATACCTCGTATTCGACGTAGGCAACGCTCAAGTATCATAGTTAGGTAGTTGAACACAGTTGAGGGGAAAAGAGCGATCGGCGTCGGCAATTTTAATTCTAAAGCTACAGCGAGAAATGGGAAATCACCATCTTCTAGCACTTAATACCTGATTTTATTTTGCACCCGCTCTGTCTTGTATCTCCAACAATTGATCCGACGATGGCCGTCGGTTGATTGACTGGGTGTTGTGGGCTGTGGAGCGTCGAGCTTACCGAACAGTCGTCTGGCGGTTGGAAAGTTTTACTGTGATTGTTTGCTGGACCTGGGGGTATATGGATGTATGAATGGATACTTATTCGTGACGGGCACTAACAGGGCATGACATGGAGAAGACCAGCTTCCCCGACGACTATCTACAACGATAACTCAGTTTGAGAATTGGACTACTCATGTAGTGGGTGCATTCGCTGATACCACTCGGGACCTTGGTGCTGGGGATTTTCACCCTTCCCTCAACCGTTAATATCCACCAAAGAGAAAACAGGAAAAACCTTTGGCTACCCTAATATGCTTTTGTCATCTTGTATATGGCCGCTGCGCGAGATATAGCCTCACAGGCCTCCCTCTCTCGAATGAGGTAAGTATCCAGGCTACCCAGACTTTAACTCGGGGAGCTGACGACCAGGAGGCAGACCACAACACCTTTCATCGTTGCCAGTTTTTCGAGTGTCGGTAGCACTATCCGAAATCGTAGCGTCGCCGCGAACAAGCACTCTGTTGAGTTTGTGAGCACATACGGATTGAATCTCTACCTTGAAGCATGCTATTTGCCTTCGTAGAACACCAAGGTAGATATCGAAAAGATTTGCGTTGACTGAAGAAGGCTTGTCTTTAGACGACTTATTCTTACTCCTACTGCTAGGAGATACATCTCATAATATACATGTCCTGGATAGCCATATCACAGTTCCTACACTATCCAGTACATTCCATTACAAGTCTATAATACGCCAGTCACGGATTGCCCTCAAGTCCATGTCCTTGGATTTGCATGAGGTACTGGCATGCACAGATCTGACATCTCGTGGCAGAATGCGACATACCCAAATTCGAAAACACTCGAAGGATGTGAGTCCCAGCATGTCCTCTCTCGACCTGTGAATCTCCATTAGAAGAGCAGTCTCCCACAGACCAAGACACGAACTTTGTACCTCATGACTTAATTTACTACTTGCCGGCATCCGCAGCGTAGTGTTTTGATAGTAGCAGGTGGCCGGTAATTCTTGAGGCAAGCTCCCGTCTGTAATTAGATCAGCTCCATGCTCGGTCGTTGAGGCGTGGGGCTCTGTGGTAAGGTTGAGATGGAGGACTCGCGTGAGGGACCGATATCGACGAGAGCTCGTCAATTCCAGATATATTTGCTTTCGACTTCTATTCGGATGCCATTCTCCTCGAACATGCCGGATGTGAAAAGTATACTGAGCGAGTACACCGTCGCCACCGTAAGGTGAAGAATCCGTCTTTGTCGGCCATGAGGATTTTTTGAAGTTGATTTCATTTAGCCCGATTTGGCGGCCCATGGGCCGGTGCAGGTGTATGCGAAGTCTTCGATGTACAAAGGAGGAAACTTTTATTGCAAAAAACCACTCAACCTTTCAAATTGTCTAAACCTCGATACTGTGTTACCACTGGGAAGTGCACTAACACGCTCCTGTGCTGGGTGGGTTGCGTTCTCTTGCCTGTTACTTGTACCAGTCTGTCTTTTATCTTCTCTCATCGTAGCTTCGACTTCAACTATCAGTCGAAAGTTTTCTAGCCATCCTTCGTGCAGAATCCACCTTGTAATCCATACTACATCGTGTAGATTGTTCTTACTTTTCTCCTCGTATTGCATTCGGCTAGCTAGCTATCACAATTTACATAACAATAATCCACCTATCCGACTTATTCTGACTCAACTAATTGGTATTTTTCCATCTAAATTTCCACTATTTCTCGGGCATGGCTCCCATTATCCATACATACCAGCGCCGCGAGAGGTGTGGTTGTGTTCCGCCGGATTTAAACCAGCAATCTCCTATCTCAAATGGTATGTGCATCCAATCTATCTAGACTCTACTTTAGAGACCAGCCCGGATAATATACCAACGCACAATCCAATAACAACGGTGTATAAAGTCTTAGCTGCACTTGCGCAAACGAAGCCATGTAGTGCGCAGTGCTCAGTTTAAAAATCTCTTTGGCAAAAATTCAATAATTCACTCCTTAACAGGTGTTATCCACGGTTTGTATCATCTTG